TTACCATTCCAAACCAGCCTTCACCTCCTAAAGTTTGTAGTTCGACTTTAAAATGAATATGAGTGTCATCCAGACGATATCTAACGATATAAGAGTTCCAAGTACTGACTTTACTTGGATAATCTCCATCTTCTCCACCATCTCCTGAAGATTGAGGTTGAACTGTCCAAATGCTTTTAACAAATTGAGAATCTTTTTTGTCAAGATTACGAATTATAATATCACGAAATGTAATATTCCTTAATATAGCTTTTTCTTCTGTATTAAAAAGATCTGATTCCCACCAATTCTCATCAGTTTCTCGAATTCGATTAAACTATTAGTTAAGAAAAAAATTGCATATTCGATGTTAATTTAATTAAAATTTAAATTTTTTATGTTTTTGTTTCATTACCTGTGTCACTAAGCTTTCATTTATTAATTCCCCAAAATTTGAACCATCTTTATGATCTTCAGAATAAGCACCGACGTATGCCTCTAAAGTATCAGGTCCATTTGGATATAAAGATTCTAATTTATTTCGAATGTCTGCATTACTCGTAATTTCATCCCATGAGCTTTTCCTTGATAACTTATAAGCCTCCCGAACCGTGTTATATAGTGGAATACCTATAATAAAGGTTACTCGTTAGATTCCATCAAAAATTTAATAAGAATTTTAATAATGAAATCGTACCGCGATCCCTTGACCTTGAAATATCAAATGCGGGCAAATCATAAGTATGAGAATCTGGACTTTTAAAATTTTTCACCTTAAATAATCAAAATTTGAAGTTAGTATAAAAAAAACTTTTTTAGAATGGTTATATATTTTTTTTTTATTTTTTAAAAAAAAAAAAGAAGTATCCTACAGCATCGCTAAAAAAAATGTCAACTTCTTCTTGTCTTTGTAAAGCCATCGAACGTAAAACACGAGTTAACCCAAACGTTTCTAAAAGGCTTTGATTGGTAATTTGGTTCAGAGTCAATTCAGCAATTGTGTCACCATAGTCATCTTGAATTCGATACGTATCGCTAATATGAATAAAATTCATTAGAAATTGATTCCAAGAAATATCGATTCTAAATATGAAATACCTTAATTCTGAATGACCATATCTGAATGCAACGGTGGCAAAGAAGGTATCAATACCAGGAACCAAATCTGGTTTGTACCCATTATATAAGGGAAGAGGTTGTCCAAGAACAGTGCCAAGATATTCTTCAGAGACAGTTTTTTGGAAATATGCAATATTCCACCGTCTTGCTTCGTCAAAATACTGTTGATCAGTCCATGCATTACCATGCTGTTGAAATAGTTCATCGCATAATCTATTATGTTCGCGAATCCATACAGTATTAATGGCCAAAGTGAAAAAAGTCCAAGCTCGTAGTGGAGATATGCCCCACATATATTCGCCTTCGAGATCTTTTGCAGGATAATTTCCATCGGATGTTAATAATTTACAACTAGTTCCATCACGTAACCTTGAGAGATCTTCATCCGATGTACCGTAGATTGTATTTAAGCGAAGGAATGAAGTTCCATGATTAATTCCGTTACGTGCGGTATTTAATGGATTCGGATCAAATGTTTCGGACATGTTAAATGGAATCGACGTTGTACCGTTGGCTGATAATTCCCCTGGGATTGAATTTGGTGGATTGTAATTTGCGTCATCAGCAGGTATGTATATCGGATCCGAGACGACATTATTTTGCGA